CCTGGAAAGGACGTTTGCGCCTCCTTTCCAACCGACTGAGAGTTGCGAGCACGAGAGTTGCGTGGTCGGTCGTCCGCTGGTGCGCTGCGTGTTTTAGGGGGTTTCAAAGTTGAAAATGGAGATTTCAATGGAGTTCGAAAAAATGGACTTTCGAAAATACGGCGCGCTGATTGGACAAAAAGGAAGCGAGTTTCTCCCTTGTCGAGGCAACTCCATTGCAATCTCCAGGGTCGATTTTCGGCCATGGAGCGAGTCCATGATGGAGAGAAGTGAGGCCATCAAATTTCGCAAGGTTTTTTAAGAGCGCGCGGCCGCGCCGTTAGACGCGGCGGGCAAGAAGGCCAGGGTAGTCTACTCGAACAGGGGCATGTGCGCCAAGCCAGCGCGCATGCGAGACGAGTAGTCCTACAAGGACATGCGCGGAAGGCTCTCTGCAGCCGACCGTGAAGAACGTTTCATCAACATCGAGACGAAGGACGATGCCACGAGGGCGACGTCCGCTATGCCCAACGACGCCCACAACCTGGTGCGCAACCAAGACGATGCACGTTGTTCTTTACTTCAAGACCATAGATAAGGCAGCGGACCTGTTGAGAGGATCTCAAGAGGAGGTACGCTGGCGCAAGGACCGCCATGTCCTCGGACCTAGCTCTCGAGCCTCGGACTGTCGGGCGCCACGCAATAAAAACGAATCAAATTATGGAGGTACATGCATTTCGGCCTCCGGAATGCCTCCGGAAAGCAAACGCTTTTCATTGGCTATAAATCAAGCAATTTTTGGCGCCATGGACCTGCTCCATTGCCATTGGCTTTTCCATTTTTTCAACTTTGAAACCCCCTTTTGTACCCAAGAAATTCAGCGGTGGGTCGCTTGCAACACGATGGAACAGTCGGAATGGCCGAAGAATATGGCTTGCGTGGTGCATATTCCAGTATACATGTATATATTCTGCAGCTATGACGTGGGAAACAATATTGCCGGGAGCGGTGCTAGTACGTCGGTGCCGGCACTTCTGCAGCCATTGACACGGGGCTTGCACCACGAGCAGAGGTGGTGTCGTTGCCATGCTGCAAGCCAGCGCGGCCAAGCCCATGACACTTGAATTCCCACAAACCGGATATGTAACTTTTGCAGTAGCCAATCAGAAGCGGCGAACATTGGCCTTTTCCAGCGTCTTTGCAGGAACCAGTCTCGGAAAGTCATGGCCAAAGCCGCGTCGTCCGGCTGCCACTGGTGGCCGCTGCCCATCCTTAGTACGTCGACGGCGCCTGCGAGCGCTCACTAACGGTGTGC